TTTAATGTACATCATTTCTTCATACAACAAATATTTATTGAACACTTACAATATTACTTTAAAAATTTTAGTCATTTGATAGAAAATGTTATCTTGTAAGTTGCATTGTAAAATTATTGAGATTAATCTTTTTTTCAGGGTTATTGACTAGAAATTTTCCTGACATCTGTATTGATGGTATATTTTTCAATTTTTTTTTTTACTATTTGAACTTTATAGTGGGTGTTTTGTTAGCAAAAATTTTACATTTTCAAATAATGAAATATACAAATTTTTTCCCCTTCATGATTTTTATCTTTTTTTTTTTTTGAGACAGAGTCTCACTCTGTTGCCCAGGCTACAGTGAGTGCCCTGACATCAGCCTAGCTCACAGTAACCTCAAACTCCTGGGCTCAAGCAATCCTGCTGCCTCAGCCTCCCGATTAGCTGGGACTACAGGCATGCACCACCATGCCCAGCTAATTTTTCTATATATGTATTAGTTGGCCAATTAATTTCTATTTACAGTAGAGACAGGGTCTCGCTCTTGCTCAGGCTGGTTTTGAACTCCTGACCTTGAGTGATCTGCCTGCCTTGGCCTCCCAGAGTGCTAGGATTACAGGTGTGAGCCACTGGTCCGCCCCCCCCCCTTTTTTTTGAAATAGGTTCTCACTCTATCTCTTGGGCTAGAGTGCAGTGGTGTCATCATAGTTCACGGCAACCTTGAACTCTTGGGCTCAAACAATCTTCTTGCCTCAGCCTTTGGAGTAGCCAGGACCACGGGTGGCTAATTTTTAAGAAAATTATTTTTGTAGAGACAAGGTCTCACTATGTTGCCCAGGCTTGACTTCATCTAATGTCCTGACAAATACACTTCTTGAAGTCAGACCATCGTGGTTGACAGACTAGTCCTGAATCTTAGATTTGGGGGCTAGTGAGAGAGCTGAGTACCCCCATCCTGTGGAAGGATCTCTTGAGGCATAAGTTGGAAACCAGCCTGAGCACCATAGCAAGACCCGTCTCTACAAAAAATATAAAAATCAGCTGGGCATGGTGGCATGTGCACATAGACCCAGCTACTCGGGAGGCTGAGGCAGGAGGATCGCTTGAGGCCAGGAGTTCAAGGTTGTAGTGAGCTATAATGATGTTACTGCACTGTAGCCTGGTCAACAGAGCAAGACCCTATTTCAAACAAATAAATGACTATACAAAATGCTAAGAAAAAAATCTTTAAATGTCTTTACCCAAAGAATATTTTGATAAACTAGTTATTTTTTAGAGACAGGGTCTTGCTGTCACCCAGGCTGGAGTAAAGTAGACCAATCATAGCTCACTGTAACCCCAATTCTTGGGCTCAAGTGATCCTCCTGCCTCAGCCTCCTGAGTATCTAAGACTACAAGGCACATGCCACCATGCCCAGCAAATTTTTAAAATTTTTTTTGTAGAGATGGGGTCTCGCTGTTGCTCAGGCTGTCTCAAGTGATCCTCCCATCTTGGCCTCTCAAAATGCTGGGATTATAGGCATGAGGCACCATGCCTGGTCCCCAGCTATAATTTTTAAAATATGAGAAATAAAAGAATTTTATGACACTCAGAGGGCTATGTGTAGACATTCATGAATGTGAAGCTATTTGGGTGGACACGAGGCTTTCCTTCTCTTGATACCTCAGTTTTTCTTTTTGAGTCAGAGTCTCACTCTGTTGCCCAGGCTAGAGTGCCATGGCATCAGCCTAGCTCACAGCAACCTCAAACTCCTGGGTTCAAGTATTCCTCCTGCCTCAGCCTCCTGAGTAACTGGGACTACAGGCATGTGGCACCATGCCCGACTAATTTTTCCTATATATATTTTTAGTTGGCCAATTAATTTCTTTCTATTTACAGAAGAGACGGGGTCTCACTCTGGCTCAGGCTGGTTTCAAACTCCTGATATCAAGAGATCCTCCCATCTCAGCCTCCCAGAATGCTAGGATTACAGGCGTGAGCCACCATGCCCAGCTGATACCTCAGTTTTTAATAAAGAAATAGCATTGTCCTATTTAGGTTACTAGTGAATAAGAAACCAGATTCACTTAGACCCTGTGTCTTCAAAAAATAAGAAAATTTGCCCGGCATGTTAGCGCATGCCTATAGGTAGCGCTAGCTGTTCAGGAGACTGAGACAAGAGGTTTGCTTGAGCCCAGGAGTTGGAGGCTAAGTGAACTATGATGATGCCACTGCACTTCAGTCAGGGTGACAGAACAAGACTTTGTCTCTAAAACACAAAAACCCCCAAGCTATTCTATATTTAATCGTAATTCATGTAGATTTTGCATTAAAATGTAAAAATTAATTTTTCTAACAAGTTATAGCTTTAGTATTCTATCCCTAAAAGGTATCCTCTTACAGGAAAAACAGAATTATGTGATAATCTCTCATCCATGTCTCCAGAAGGGTGAAATTGGTCAAGGCTCTAAGGTTGTAGTTCAGTCTGTTCGGGGGATTAGCCCATCTACACAGACTCCACTTTCAAGATGACAGCACTTTCACAGAGCCTAGTGGATTTGGATGAGTAATCCCAGAGCGGCAACTTCTGAACTGGAAGAACCCTGCTTCCCTGTTAGGAAACTTTACTACTCCTGACTCAGCTCTGAAGAGGATGTGGTTGGTAAAGTTTCCTGCTTCTAGTGGTCACATGCTCACATGGCCGCCTCTTGTGTGGGCCTGGTGGCTACAAAAACAGGGTCAAGTCTGACTTCAGGGATTGCTATTAGACCAGCAACCACATTCACCTGTATGAGGTCAATAGCACCAATCTTAATTAGTGCAAATGAAGACAAAATGCCTTAGACTTTGCAAGATTTTTGGATCTATAACAGTTAGTGGGTACAGGTCACCAGTCTGGGGATCTAAAAAACTTAATTCTGTACATTAAAAAAAAAAAAAGGTTACTATGAATATACAGTTTTCCCTTAAAATTATTTATGGTGGTAACTCTAAACTTTACAATAAACCAATTTCTTAGTGTCTGCTTTAAACACTTAATATATATATGTTTTTTGAGATAAGAGTCTCACTCTGTTGCCTGGGCTAGAGTGCCGTGGCATCAGCCTAGCTCACAGCAACCTCAAACTCCTGGGCTCAAGCGATCCTCCTGCCTCAGCCTCCTGAGGAGCTGGGACTACAGGCATGTACCACCATGCCCGGCTAATTTTTTCTATATATTTTTAGTTGGCCAATTAATTTCTTTCTATTTTTAGTAGAGATGGGGTCTTGCTCTTGCTCAGGCTGGTTTCAAACTCCTGACCTTGAGCGATCCTCCTGCCTCAGCCTCCCAGAGTGCTAGGATTACAGGCGTGAGCCACCGTGCCCGGCCCTAAATACTTAGAGTGCAAAAAATATACACATTCTACAACTTTTCTAGTCCTATGTTTCCTGAAGATAACAATTTCTACTCTTAAATTTTTATTGAGTATAGATTAAATATTTATCTTAAAACTCTTAATATCAATCAGGCTAATCTTTTTACTATAGTTGAAGTTTTCAATAGAACTTGGAGTCCAGCTTCAGGAATATCCTATTTGAATGAGGATTTGTAAAATAAAGACCTGTCTCACATGCCAACTTATAGTCAAGGCAAGTCTCAAAACCAGAGTTGTAGTTTATTTAATTATATAGTTAAAGATTAAATTTCTGGCTATTAAGTTCCTTAAGCCAAGAAAGTGACTAATGCTACAATGTGAAGATGGTATTTAATGATACTTTTTTTTTTTTTTTTGCCTGGGCTAGAGTGCCATGGCCTCAGCCTAGCTTACAGCAACCTCAAACTCCTGGGCTCAAGCAATCCTTGTGCCTCAGCCTCCTGAGTAGCTGGGACCACAGACATGTGCCACTATGCCCAGCTAGTTTTTTCTATATATTTTTAGTTGGCCAATTAATTTCTTTCTATTTTTAGTAGAGAAAGGGTCTCACTCTTGCTCAGGCTGGTTTCTAACTCCTGACCTGGAGTGATTCCCCCCACTCGGCCTCCCAGAGTGCTAGGATTATAGGCGTGAGCCACCACGCCCAGCCTGAAGATGGTATTTACGTCTGCATATACTAAAGGCCTAATACTTAAATTGAAGGTAAACCACAATCATCACCTCACTCCAACTATAATGACTGTTATCAAAAAGACATAACAACTGTTGGTGAGAATGTGGGGAAAAGGGAACCCTCACAGTTAGTGGGAATGTACATTAGTACAGCCATTATGAAAAACAGTATGGAGGGTCCTCAAAAAATTAAAAATAGAACTATTATGTGATCTAGCAATCCCACTACTGGGTATATATTCAAAGAAAATGAAATCAGCATGTTGAAGAGAGATCCATAGAAGCCAGGCATGGTGTAATGTGCCTGTAGTTCTAGCTACTTGACAGGCTGAGGTGGGAGGAATGCTAAAGCCCAGGAGTTTCAAGCTGCAGTCAATCGCCTTCTGCACTCCAGCTTGGGTAAATGAGCAAGACCCCAACTCAAAAAACAAAAAGAGATAGCCATAAAAATAAATGAAATTCTGTCATTTTTTTGTCAACACGGATGAACCTGGAGATTATAAGTGAAATAAATCAGACAAAGAAAGAGAAATAACACATTCTTATGATATGCAGAATCTGAAAAAAGTTGATCTCACAGAAATAGTGAATAGAATAGTGGTTATCAGGGACTAGAGGTGGTGGTGAGGTGGATGGAGAGAGGTTGGTCAACAGGTACAAAGTGATAATTAGGAAGAATAAGGTCTGGTATCCCACTGCACTGTAGAGTGACCACAATAAACAATAAGGTATTATATACCTTAAAATAGCTAGAAAAGAGGATTCTGAATGTTCCCACTATAAAGAAATGATACATGTTTCAGGTAACGGATATACTAATAACCAATTTGATAATTACACAATGTATACACATATTAAAACATCACATTTTATTCCATAAATATGTACATTATGTATCAATTAAAAATTAAAATAATTGAAAAAAATGGAGGTAAAAAAGACAGGATGCATTATTTTCCAAAAGGATTGTTTTTATTTATACAGAGTCCTACCACTTCACAGCAGTAGGTGTGGGAGAGGTTCCTTTCTCAATCCAGGGGCCTCCATAATGTTGATTTGTTGTTGCCAAACACACAGGCAAGTGGCATCATGGATTTGGTAAACTAGTAACAATGTTTAATCTCTCTCTGCTAGAGCAACAAGGTGAGCATCAATCTCTGCTTCTGTAAGAATCCTAGGAGGAAAAAGCAAAGAAAAACCCAACTATTTACTTTTTAGGAACTTTTTTTAATGGAAAATTTCAAACACATACAAAAGTAGTGTAGTATAAATTTCCATGTACCTATCAACCTACTTCAACAATGACCTATTTATAAAGTTACAAATCTGCATGTAAGACAAAAAATAAAATAAATAAAAAATTTATAAAATAAATTAAAAAAAAAAAAACAACAGCGACCTATTTACAACCAATCTTTTCCCAGGTAGTATATTAACTTCATCTATACACAAAAATGTTTATTTTTCTGAGATCAGATCCAGAATAAATCATTTGAAAATGAAACCCTTTAACTGAAAAATATTTTCATTGACTACTATAAAGTGTAAGCTGAACTATACATAATGTATTCTATTTAGCATCTACTAAAAATGCATTTATACCTAGTATAACTCACGTCTGTATCAGCTAAGATGAAAAATGAGAAATTTGAAAATTTTAAAAAGTTGCCTAGATTCAGAAGTCCATGAAAATAAAATCATAATTTGACAAATATTCTATTAGCCAGAGGTATTCCAGGTTGGACATATGATATTTTCTAAATTATATTTGCTTTGAAAGGAAGCAACTGCTTGGCCATCCTGTTAAATAGACCTGTTAGTGCTAGACTTTTAAAAGTGAAATTTTTCAAAATGACATTTTTTAGTACAACTGAGGCAATATTAAGTAGTTTATATAGTTGTTAATGCATATGCTATATATTCTAGTACTATTAACATATACTTACTATCACAGAATTTATAAATGATACAAAGGCTTTGTATTATACAAGATCTTTAGCTTCTATTCAATTTTTAAAATAACAGATGTAAATAAAATTTAAAAGGTAACTGGAAGGTCTCAAAACAGAAAACAAGAACCACAGGTTCTTTAGAGAAATTTGTAAATTGCTCCTGCTGGAATTTTACTGCTTAAAAAAAAAAAAATAAAGGCAATCTTTCCTACAGAAAAAAAAGTTAAGATTCAATTCTGTTGTGGTTTTTTTTTTTTTTTTTTTTTTTTTAGGAGACAGGGTCTTACCATATTGCCCAGTCTGGAGTGCAATGGCTATTCACAGGCATGATCACAGTACCTGTAGCCTCAAACTCCTGGGCTCAAGCAATCCTCCTATTTCAGCCTCCCAAGTACCTGGGATTATAGGTATGCCCAGCTCTCAGTTTGTGGGTTTTTTTTTAATACTATTAATTTTCTTTGAATATTTCATGTTTATATCATTTACCTGTAGGCAACCAAAAAAACACAAACTAACAAAAAACCCTTTTTTTTTTGAGACAGAGTCTCACTCTGTTGCCCGGGCTAGAGTGCTGTGGTGTCAGCCTAGCTCACAGCAACCTCAAACTCTCAGCCTCCTGAGTAGCTGGGACTACAGGCACGCGCCACCATGCCCAGCTAACTTTTTCTATGTATTTTTAAAATTTTTTTATTATTTAAATTTATTTATAATTTAAAAATTTATACTTGATTGTTCTTTATTTTTTTATTCTTGATGCAAAGTAAAGTGTACATCTATGTATTTTTAGTTGGCCAATTAATTTGTTTCTATTTTTAGTAGAGACGGAGTCTCACTCTTGCTCAGGCTGGTTTTGGAACTACTGACCTTGAGTGATCCGCCTGCCTTGACCTTCCAGAGAGCTAGGATTCAGGCATGAGCCACCTCGCCCCACCACAAAGAACTCTTTAAAAGTGTGGTTAAGCTTGGTTTACTTCTTTCCAACTCCCCATTCCCCACCACCACAATGACCATGTGTCCTTATAATTGTGATCTAAGAGTAAATTCACATAGTTATCAACTGTAGTATTTTCATTAAACACAAGAGCATCCTGGTCCATGGTATGTAAACCACCTATAGGGTTGCTGGGAGAATTAAATGAGCTGATGTATATTAAGTACCTAGTATGGATTTGAATCATGGAATTTGTAAGGCTGATGTGTGGGAGTTAGTCACTCAATGAGTAAGAACACACAAACACACAGCATCTGCAACTCAATTAGCTATATTCAAAATCTGGGCTTTCCAAAGATCTCTAGATAAAGGTCTGATATATTTCAGTATTTCACATTATTCTTCAAAGTGATACTTAATAAACACTAAATAACCAAAGCTCTACCTGTAAAATTTGAAAACTACTACTGTGAGAGTTAAATTTTTACTGGCCCATCTCAAAAAAAAAAAAAAAAATCTCAAGTAAATTTTTACTTGCCTTAAACAAAACAAAACCTTATGCTTACTTTACTCCTTATATAAAGGTTATTTTGTGTCACCTCTGATATTAAACATAAATTTGTGTCACTTTGAAATGAGGAGAAAAGCTGTTATATTTGTCTTAAAGAGGTTCCATTAACTTTTAAAACAGATCTCTCAGGTGCTGAAGAAGAAAAACTATAATCACAGTTAAAAAAAAAAAAAATGTCCTCCCCGCCCCCTGCCAAGTTAGTTATAGGATAGCTACAGTCACATACCTCCACTTTTCTAGTTTGCACTTGGCAAACTTCTTTAAGTACATGGCTGGCAATATAACTCACCTGAATTTAGGATTTTCAACTGTAACTACTCCAACTTCTATTTCTGAAGGTTTGAAATCAATTGACAGAACAGTAGACAGGCATGTAATTGCAGTCTGGAAAAAGTATCAAGATTAGAATCAAGTATTTTTCAGAGATACCAAGTCATTTTTCATTTTAAGCACATTCAAATCATATGAGTTCATCACAAACTATTTGTTAATGACAAGCTCTATGTTTCAGTGATATAGTTTTACAGCCGCATGTTACTAACAGACTGCTTAACTCTAATGTATTGCCTGCCAATTATGAGAAACTTGTTTCTACCAAGTTATAAGTTAAAGGGGTCCATCAAAGGGAATAAGATGATTTATACAAAGCAGTTTATGTGCTTCATGACTACTATATCCTAGGCATTATGCTTAGCACTGGGGTAAAATGGGTAAAGGGAAAAGTTGAATGATACAACCTGCACCTTTAAAGAATTTATAGTAACAATAATTAAAGAATGTTTTAAATGTTTTGATATCTGATGTGACTATGTAATTATGAATTGCAATTAAAAAAAAACTTTAAGAAATATTTAAACAGGGCACAGTACCTCCTGGATGAGAACTACTATTCTACCTCCTTAGTATAAAATATACTGCCAACTAAATATAAAAGCATTAAATGGTAATTTTTTTTTTTTTTTGAGACAGAGTCTTGCTTTGTTGCCCAGGCTAGAGTGAGTGCCGTGGCATCAGCCTAGCTCACAGCAACCTCAAACTCCTGGGCTCAAGCAATCCTTGTGCCTCAGCCTCCCGAGTAGCTGGGACTACAGGCATGCACCCCCACGTCCGGCTAATTTTTTCTATATATATTAGTTGGCCAATTAATTTCTTTCTATTTAGAGTAGAGATGGGGTCTCGCTCTTGCTCAAGCTGGTTTCGAACTCCTGACCTTGTGCAATCCGCCCGCCTCGGCCTCCCAGAGAGCTAGGATTACAGGTGTGAGCCACTGCACCCAGCCAGATGGTAATTTTTTTTTTTACCATTTATCAGAAGCATGTTGTTAGTCTTCAGAATGGCTTTAATCTCACACTCTTAAGTCCAAAATGTACTAAAATTTTTGTTTTTAATTTCTCAGCAGTAAAAAGAGGCTTCCTTACAGTCTAAGGTTACTAAATATTTGTATAAGCATTTTAGCTTATTTTGTCAATTTAAAACTTCCCAATCACAGTGAATAATCCCCTCAAAAACCCTGCAGAAAGCTAACTCTACTTTTGCATCACAGATATAATTTCTTTGCGAAGTCATTCTTTTACTAGAAAGTGGTTTGCTTCCCTAAAATTTTGGTGTGTGGCTGCTTTTCCTATAGGACCACAGAATAGTATTTCTGCCTTTCAACCTTTTTACTTTTGCTAACAGGAAGCTTAAGCCTAACTGAGTTTCAACCATGGCAACCATGCAGGTCTTTGGTCCTTGTCTTGATTTCTCTTTTTTCTTTTTGAGTTTGCTTATATGTTTATTTTTTTTTTATAATTTTTATTTCAGCATGTTATGGGGGTATCTTGATTTTTTTTTAAATATAAATTTTCAACATTTAAATATTTTTCACTCTTTTTTTTTTTTTTTACACTGTCTGACCTTTCGGTGTACATGATTTCTTTTTTCTTTTTTCAGAGACAGGGTCTCATTATGTTGCCCAGGCTGGCTTCAAATACCTGAGCTTAAATGATTCTCCTGCCTCAGCCTCTCAAGTAGGTGGGACTACAAGCTTGTGCCGCCACACTCGGCTGATTCCTAATCTTGTTTTCCCATTTTATTCTATATGTTGTTAAAAAATCATCTCAGATACATTAGGAAATAAGATAAGCAATTAAGGGAATAAAAGCAGCTCTAATTTTCCCATGTCAGCTGAATGACATCAATTTTCTTCTTTTTTGTTTTTTTTGAGACAGTGTCTCACTCAGTTGCCCAGGGTAGAGTGCAGTGGCATCATCATAATTCACTGTAACCACAAACTCCTGGGCTCAGGTGATCCTTCTGTCTCAGCCTCCTGAGTAGCTGGGACTACAAGGCACATGCTACCACGCCCAGCTAATTTTTAAATTTTTTTGTGGAGATGAGGGTCTCACTATGTTGCTAAGTCTGGTCTCAAACTCCTAGCTTCAGGTGATTCTTCTACTTTGGCCTCTCAAAGTGCTAGGATTATAGGTAGGAGCCACTGTGTCAGCCCAATTTTATTATTAAGCTGAGAAACTTGGATCTTGTGATATAACTCAGGAATAGCCTTTATATATTGTCAATTATGAAAGATTCTCACTGTTCTATAACATAACAGCAGTTCCTTTTAGTTAACTTACTTCTACTGTTTGTTCAAATGTCCAATCAAATTTCTTCTTCACTTTTTTTTCAAGGAAGCTGGTTGACTCAGTTTGTTTAACTCCTGCCGCAGTGGCTTTAAACCCACAGTAGTAACCTGCAGGATCACACTTGTACACCTGAGGGCCTTGTTCTTCATCTATACCAATTAAAATCATACCTAAAAAGAAAGAAAGACCCTAATTAAATATCTTTTAGCTTTATACAAAAAAAGTTCCTCTTTCTTAGTGGTGTCACATAGCTGTTGCCAATCATTACTTTGGCCATCAATTTTAGGATATGTTTTGCTTTAAGAAAACTTAAAGATAATATGTGAAATATTGTTGTAAAACCTACCCTTCAGCTCTGATTTATTATAAAGATTTTCCTATCTTATATAATTTCTAAACCATATGTTCAGAATCCAAGTGTTGTTTCACTTTTCTCTGTATGTGTTTTCTTTTTATAAAGTTGAAATTCATCAATTATTTGGGAGACTACTTAGCATACTTACAACAACCAAGAGGCCTCATTTCAGCATTCTGTGTGTAGACCTGAGAAATGTCAGCAATTCTTTTACACAGCATGTCCACAGGAATCTCATAGCCATACTTGTATTTCCAATTAGCTGCCTCATAGCGTGCCCTCTGTACCTGGGATCTGCTGTCAGCTTATGATATGTATAAAAAAAAGGTTTACCTTGTTAGAAGAATGAACCTGAAAACTAGACCATTTTCCCAACCTATGTGCACACACACATGTTAAGGAAAGGAGAAGAGGTCCACTACGGCTTTTTCTACAACCAATGAATACTAAATGACTCAGCAACAAGTATATAACATTTTTTTAAAAGATGGTGCTCTCTACACAGTACTACCATTTTAAACAGAGCTCCTCATCAGCAGTCAAAATAATTTCTAGAAGTGTCTAGTAACTTGCAAAAGAACAAGCAATAAAGAGAAAATAATCTCAACCTGTTTCTAGGTTTGAATTTTTCAGAAAATAAAAAGCCAAAGTAATTTTTATAATAATTCTCACCCACTTCTAACCAGTGTCATTATTACCAGGTTTGAGATATACTGACTTAGGTCCCCTTAAACTACTAACTGTAGATGAAATAAGATAAATCATCTGTGAGAGGGGTCTCAGCCCAGTTTCCCAGACAGTAGCTTTTAAAGACCTAATTTCATTACAATTATAATTTCAAAAAAGCTCACAATACTGAAAATATTGATATTAGTTTTGGAACACTGCAAATCTACTCAAATTATCTGCAAATCAGGCACTAAAGGAAGCTTAAAATACAAAACTCAAAAATAATTTGAAGACAATAACACAGGGCTTATATATCTAAGTAGACATCTGGCTGATTACCTGTCATTCCTGTCATCACACAGCCAATGTTTTCAGTTATCTTGAATAAGTGAGTCACTGTGCTGGAATCCAATAACTTATCCTAATGAACAATAACAACAAAAAAACACAAAGATAATTTTTAAGAAAGTCAACAAGTCTCTGTATAGTTATAAAAAATACTATGGGCTGGACATGGTGGCTCACGCCTGTAATCCTAGCACTCTGGGAGGCTGAGGCGGGCAGATTGTTTGAGCTCAGTTCGAGACCAGTCTGAGCAAGAGCAAGATCTCATCTCTACTAAAAAAAATAGAAAGAAATTAGCTGGACAACTGAAAAAAAAAAAAAAAAAAATTAGCCAGGCATGGTGGTACATGCCGTGTAGTCAGCTACTTGGAGGCTGAAGCAGGAGGATCACTTGAGCCCAGGAGTTTGAGGTTGCTGTGAGGCAGGCTGACGCTATGACACTCTAGCCCGAGTAACAGAGTGAGACTCTGTCTCAAAAAAAAAAAAGTATATTAAAAAAAATACTATGGAACTGTAACAATAAACTATACATAATAAATGTCTTCTGTTCATTTTATAGTTAAAATCAATTTTTAAAAAAGGGTGGAGGCCAGGCGCAGTGGCTCACGCCTGTAATCCTAGCACTCTGGGAGGCCGAGGTGGGCAGATTGCTCGAGGTCAGGAGTTCGAAACCAGCCTGAGCAAGAGTGAAATCTCGTCTCTACTATATAAAAATAGAAAGAAATTAATTGGCCAACTAATATATATAGAAAAAATTAGCCGGGCATGGTGGCGCATGCCTGTAGTCCCAGCTACTTGGGAGGCTGAGGCAGGAGGATTGCCTGAGCCCAGGAGTTTGAGGTTACTGTGAGCTAGGCTGACGCCACGGCACTCATTCTAGCCTGGGCAACAAAGCGAGACTCTGTCTCAAAAAGAAAGAAAAAAAAGGGTAGAGGTGGGGAACTCTATTTTCCTTTTTTAGATGATATCTTCCCCATGCACAAGAATAATAGCTTTTCAAAACTTGTCTCAATGTCCCTGAAGACTAAAGACTTAGAACTCCCATTGTGCCCATAATCATACTACAAAGTTTAATATGGTAATCCTGTCTACTCAGCTGAACTGTATACAGACATTCAACAGATACTTCTTAAATGATAGGAACAGAGTCAAAGCAAGAATGTTAACTTATGTACATAATAATATATAATACATTTGTATAAACTCATGAAAAATTCTTTAATTATATTCTGTAATAATTGACTACTTGGAAAGTATTACTTACAGGTACTTTCTTCTGTGTAACAATTACTGCACAGTCTTTCCCTCTGACGGCTACTGATGTAAGGCCACCCTGGTTAATAGCTTTAAAAGCATATTCTGGAAAATAAAATAGTTTTTTAAAAAGATGCAATAAATTTGCATAGATACACGTAATGGAAAAATAAACAGCAATTAAAAAGAATAAGGTATAGCCATACAAACTAACATGGAATGCCATCCAAGACATGCAAAATCTATATAATAATAATGATAATAGTAAATTATGGTTAGCCAACTGTTTCTTTCATTTTCATCTTACTGAAATTATTTTCATTAAGCTCAAATACCAAATTTCCAATAAAGTTTTAATTTAATTGATTCTGACCACATCAAATCTTTATCAATTATATGTCTTATCATTTTAAAAGTTTGTTTTATGGCCATTATTTGTAACAACCCTAGTTCTCCTAATCTAAATTTGGCTGCTCTAAATTTTCTCAAGATTTAACACTTCTGTTAACTTTTGGTCAATAACCAATTTGACCACATGCGGTTTTAATTGCTGTTAGATTTTTTGCATTGATTTTTGTCTACCAGGTTGAATTTTTCTGGATCATGCTTTTTGCAATTTTCATATTACCTACAACATATGATTCTTTAGTTTAACAGAGTAGGCTTGTGCACTTCTAGCTACTGTTAATCCATTCCATGGGTTAAAACACTGAGATCAAATGGCAGCATAAAATAAACTACGTTGGCACCATGTAGTACAGGTGATAATTATTTTCTTTGGACGGAAAGATTACAGACAAGACTATCAATTTATACATTATAGATTTCTGTAATATTTAAATTTAATGGCTACATGCCGTGGCTCATGCCTATAATCCCAGCACTTTGGGAGGCCAAGGAGGATCACTTGAGGCCAGGAGATCAAAACCAGCCTGGGCAACACACTGAGACCTCTCTTCTACAAAATTTTTAAAAATTAGCTGGGTGTGGTGGTGTGTGCCTATAGTCCCAGTTACTCTGGAGGCTGAGGCAGGAGATCATTTAAGCCCAGGAGTTCAAGGTTGCAGTGAGCTACAATCACGCTACTACACTCTAGCTTGAGTGACAGACTCTCTCTCCCTCAAAAAAAAAAAATAATAAGACACATTTTGTAATGAGGAAATAAAGCAACAAAAATTAATATATGCTCACTGCAGAAAATAGGGAAAATACAGAAGATAATTAAAAAGAAAAAATTATTCATAACAACCCCAATTTTTATTTACATTCTGACACATAATAACTGATTTCAAAATTCTGTCTTCAAGTGTTACTCTGGGCACTGGGTCTGAACCCTAGCCTCCTCTGTTTAAAAAGCCACAGGTTATGAGGACCAGCTGAGGAAGATACTACCCATGACACCAAAAAATTTTCTTTAATAGGAGCTATAATAACATTTTTTTAATCAAATATTTCTAAATGGCTATATATTAAAAAGAGAACAAAAGAAAAGGGCAAAAAGATTCTAGAAAAATCACCTTAAAGGAAATCCTTAAATCTAGCTTAGATTTAACGAGCTAATCATAAGTTAATTTTTACCATCGCATTATACCACAAATAATTTCTAAAAGACACTGCCTCTCTCAGTATCTGTAGGGGGTTCTAGGTTCTAGGACCTCCTGTGGACACCAAAATCCAGATATTCAAGCTTCTGATATAAAATGGTGCAGTATTTGTACATAACCTATGCATATCATTCCGTATATTTTAAATTAACTCTACATTATCTGTAATACCTCATACAATATAAATGCAATATAAATAGTTATTGTATTGTTCAGGGAATAATGGCAAGAAAAAAATGTCTGTACATGTTCAGTATAGATGCGATTTTTATCCCCAACATTTTGATCTGTGGTTGGTCAAATCAGTAGATATAGAATCCACAGATACGGAAGGCCAACTGTACAATTTTCAAACTGCTTCCTGGTTCTGTTTCTAATATTGCTAATAAAGATTCTACCAGATCAGCCCTCTACAGATAACAACTACAAATATATAACTACCTGAAGATATCAGACAGATTCTAGAGGGGGAGTCAATGCTTAGGAAAAAGGAATAGCATGGGGTAAGCTTCCCATTTTCATGGCTCAAACTCTGAAAGCAGTCAGTGCTAAACTCCTACAGAAAACTCAGTCCTTTTGGCTCACAGAACTAGAGAACAGTTAGGGATAACTATAGCTGCTGGAAAATGAGGGTGGGAAAGGAAAGTACCAGACAGGGAGATCCCTAGCTTCTATATATAAACACCGTTCCAAACTCTGAATTTTATAACAACATACACACACAGACTCCAAGCAGCCTAGTAAAGGATAAAAGAAATAAAGTGAAATTTGGGATGCCACCTGAGAGACAGACTTTATGGCTTGAGAATAATGAAGCCACTTTGTGGCTTGTTTTGCCTCCCAGAACAAAACAAGTCAACACTCTTTGGAGGAATATAACAGAATTCAGAGTCTTCACAATGTAACAAATGTCCAGGATATAATCCAGAACTACTCAACATATTGAAAGAGAAAACGACCACCCCTGAGGTGAACTAGATGTTGTATTAGCAGACAAGAATTTTTAAAACAGCTATTAGAACTATGATCAATGACATTATGGAAATATTCCCCAAATGAAATATGATAGGAAACCTCAGCAGAGAAAGAATAAAAGAACCAAAAAAGAAATTATAAAATCAAAAATATGTGAAATTTAAAACTTCACCAAATATTCATGTCCCGGCGGAGTCGCCAAAGGAAAAAAAAAAACAAAAAACTTCACTAAGTAGACTTAAATGCAGAATGGAGGTGATAAAGGAAAGAGTAAATATGAAAATGAATCAACCAAATCATCCAATCCTAAGGAGAGAAAATAGATAAAAAACCACAATGAATCTGTGGGTTAACATCAAAACATGTAAGATATGTATAATATAACCAGAGTTCTACATGGAGAGTTAAAACTGTTGCAAAAAAAAATCTGAAGAAATAATGGCTGGCTGGGCGTGGTGGCTCATGCCAGTAATCCTAGCACTTTGGGAGGCTGAGGCGGGAGGATTGCTTGAGGTCAGGAGTTTGAAACCAGCCTGAGCAAGAGTGAGACCCCGTCTCTACTAAAAATAGAAAGAAATTAACTGACCAACTAAAAAGTAAATATATACAAAAAACTAGCTGGGCATGGTGGTGCATGCCTGCAGTCCCAGCTACTCAGGAGGCTGAGGCAGTAGGATCACTTGAGCCCAGGAGATTGAGGTTGCTGTGAGGTAGGCTGACGCCATGGCACTCACTCTAGCCTGGGCAACAAACTGAGACTCTGTCAAAAAAAAAAAAAAAGATATAATGGCAAAAATGTTCCAAATATGGCAAAAGACAGAAAAGTTTATTTTTTTTATTTTTTATTTTTTTAGTCATGGACATACAGTTGGAACAGAAAAGTTTAGATTAAAAAAGGTTGGCAAACTCCAAACAGGATGAAGACAAAGAAAACCACACTCATCATGGTGAAATTCTTGAAAACCAAAGAAATAGTAAGTAAAAATTTTAAAAACAGAGAAAACTTATTAAATGTAAGAGAACAATGATATGAATGGGCCGGGCGCGGTGGCTCACGCCTGTAATCCTAGCACTCTGGGAGGCCGAGGCGGGCGGATTGCTCGAGGTCAGGAGTTCGAAACCAGCCTGAGCAAGAGCGAGACCCCATCTCTACTATAAATAGAAAGAAATTAATTGGCCAACTAATACATATAGAAAAAAAATTAGCCGGGCATGGTGGCGCATGCCTGTAGTCCCAGCTACTCGGGAGGCTGAGGCAGAAGGATCACTTGAGCCCAGGAGTTTGAGGTTGCTGTGAGCTAGGCTAACGCCATGGCACTCACTCTAGCCTGGGCAACAAAGTGAGACTCTGTCTCAAAAAAAAAAAAAAAAAAAAAAATGATATGAATGATGTGACTTCAACTGATGATGTGGAACAGCATCCTTAAAGTGTGGAAAGAAAAAACTTAATCCAAAATTCTACACCCAATAAATATATCCTTCGAGAAAGAAGGTAAAATAAAGAAACTTTCAGATTAGCAACAAGAAATGCTAAAGAAAGTTCTTCAGACTAAAGAAAAATGATACTGGATAAAACCTCTGATCTTCAAAACTCAGAAACATAAAAACTGGGGAAACAGAAAAGATTATTATTATTATTTTTAGAAACAAGCTCTCTCTGTGTTGTCCAGGCTGGAGTGCAGTGGCACAGTCATAGCTCACTGCAACTTGGAGCTCCTGGGCTCAAGTGATCCTCCTGCCTCAGCCTCTTGAGTAGCGGGGTGTGTGGCACCATGCCTGGCTAATTAAAAAAAATTTTTTTTATAGAGACTGGGTCTCACTATGTTGCCCAGGCTGCTCTTAAACTCTTAGCCTTAAGTGATTCTCCCACTTCAGCCTCCGAAACTGCTGGATTACAGGCATGAGCCACCATGCCCAGCCAGAAAATATTTTATTCTCTTTATTTCTTTAAAAATACATGGCTGCTGGCTGGGCGTGGTGGCTCATACCTGTAATCCTAGCACTCTAAGAGACCGAGGTGGGAGAATTGCTTGAAACCAGCCTGAGAAAGAGCAAGACCCCAACTCCCCAGCTACTTGGGAGGCTGAGGCAGGAAGATTACTTGTGCCCACGAGTTTGAGATTGCAGTGAGCTAGGTTCATGCCCTGTACTCTAGCTGGAGTGACAGAGCAAGACTGTTTCAAAATAAATAAATATATTAAATAAAAATATGTAACTTCTTAAAGTAAAAATTATAACATTGTGGAGTTTATAATATATGGAGATGCATTACTTTATAAAAAGGAAAGGGAGTACATGGACCTTAAGGTTTCAAGCTTTGCACATTTTATGTGAAGTGATAAATACTAACTCTAAGATGACTTGGAGAAGTATGTATAGCCAAAAAGTTAATAGATAAAAACTACTCAAATAATCCAAAAGAAGGCAGGAGAGGAGGAGATACAGAGGAAAAAGCAACCAAAACAGAGAAATAAATAATGAATAAATGGTAAACTTAACCAAATCAGCAACTACATTAAATGCTAA